TAGTAAAATAACACTACCGTCCCTAGATTGCACCGGATCTCAGTCAGTGTGGCCCCCTACAAATTCTCCCATACCTATTCGGTCAAAGAGCTCGCCCCCACTGCAATATTCGAGGAAGAGGTACTGAATGGTGCCTTCTCTTCGGTGTCCATAGAATTTCACAATGTTCTCATGATTCAACATTTTGTTGATACAGATCTCCTTCCTGATCTGTTCCGGGCATTCAATAGCACATTTTATGTCCACCATTTTCACTGCCACTGCTTCCTTGGTGCGCCTATTCACAGCAAGTTGAACTCTGAAGAGGAGACCAAAACAGGGTTGCAAATTAAGTCTTCTACCCTGGAAATTAAGATCACTATAGCTTTGCCCACCCCCCATTTTTCTTCTACAGAAAACAGGGCCCCTTGACTTAAAACAGCATGGATTTCCTCTTCCGTAATTCTTCAGTGTCGTGGATTACAATTTGCAGCTCGTCCTTTTTCTACAGGATTTATCAGAGCTCCATGTTTTATGCATTCACATAAGCTACTTACTCTCCATAAGCCCCTTCACCAAGAGTCTGCACTAAGTCCCAGTCTTCCACAAACGGCACTGCCATTTTCACCACCAGCACATCTGCTACAAATATTTGAAAATAAGAAGGAATTTATTTACTTAGCACATGTATATAGCTGCCCATCTCACAAAAACATGACTCATGGGCAGTGTACAATGGAACAACAGATAAAAACTCCACATAAATAAAATAAATATATAATGCCAAGAATTACAAAATATGGCTGCCAGATACTCATTAATCATAAATATATATATACTGTATATATATTGCATTTTTCAGTTCATTTACTTCTTCAGTTCATTTACTAATAAACAGCAGTAATTATAGATAAGCAAGCCCAGGAAGGTGAATTTAAGATATACTTGCTCATGTGAATCTTGCACGAGAAAAAAAAATGCTTTGGAAGACACAGCGGAAGAGAAAGGCTTGAGTCATCACAAGCTACTCCCTCCTTAAATAAAACAAATTCAATCTGTGGCCCAGAATCCATTGTTGATGCAACCTACACACACATTTTTTACATATTGCAAGAAGCAATGCAACCTTCCCCAGACCTGAAGACAGACTGATGAAGGAAGGACAGCTCCTGGTTATTTCCATCCATCTTCTGGACCAGGGGGTCTTCAAACTTGGCCCTTTTATGACTTGTTGACTTCAACTCCCAGAATTCCTCAGCCAGAGTGCCTGGCTGAGGAATTCTGGGAGTTGAACTCCACAAGTCATAAAAGGGCCAAGTTTGAAGACCCCTGCTCTTTCCTATAAACCCCCCAGCTGCACCATCAAGAAGCATGGGAATTGCACTCTAGTCTCTAGAGCAGTTGTTCCCAAGCTTAGCATGAACACAGCTGAAGTTGAGGGTCTTAAGAGGTCCGTTGCACCGACCCCTTGAGACCCTCAACCTTCAGGTGTAGATATTTTCAATGGAAATCCTCGGTATCTGAATGATTTGACATTTTGGACAAATCATTGTTCATGGGCCCACCGGTTGGTTTAGGTTGGTTGGGTTTCGGATAGGGGCAGTAGGTTTCTCGTGGTGCCAGGCACAAAGGTGCAATTAACAGCAGACTCGGGTCCACATCTATAAAAGTTACCGATCAGTCTGGAGGTGCCCCTAAAGCAGTGTTTCTCAACCTTGACCATTTTAAGGCATGTGGACTTCAACTCCCAGAATTCCACAGCCAGCATTGCTGGCTGTGGAATTCTGGGAGTTGAAGTCCACATGCCTTAAAATGGTCAAGGTTGAGAAACACTGCCCTAAAAGGGAGATCCCCCAAAGCAACCCCCTTGCTCAACGAGCAGATAAGGCTAAACATTTGGGGGGGGGGGCGGTGGGGAGAGAGCTGAAAGCGGGAGAAAGGAGCCGAGTTGAACATGCAAAACAAGGGAGCTGCCTTCCCCAACCGGGCGCCCCCTTGCTTTGCAACTCCCAATTCAGCTGGGGGGGGGAATGCAACGAGCTCCATCCACCCACCCAACCCCAGGCAGGTCGGGAGGGCGCCAGTCCGGCCTGTCCGTCCAGAGACCCTCCCGGGACAAGCTTCTCCCCCCCACCCCCGACACCAGCCTCTCCCCTCCCTCCGCTGCTCGGTTGTACCGACCGCTCGAGTCCCGGCGGCTCCCGCCCGCGCGCGCGCGCGCTCACCCGAGCCCTGCTCTTCCGAAAACGCCGCTCTTCCTTCCCGCCAAAGCGCGTCGCAAGCCGGACGCCCAGCCAGGAGCCGAGGCGAGGCGGAGGATTCCGGCGCCGGCTCCGCCCCTTGCCCGGCCGGAGCCTCGGAGCGGAAAGCGAAGGCGAGCGGGGCCCGCACGTGGCCGGAGTTGTGGCGCGGGGATGCCCGGGGAGAGCCTGCCGCCTCCCGCGTGGCCCGGAGCTTTTTTTTCCCTCCAAGTTGGCAATTAAAAAAAAAAAAAAAAAAGACTTGTGGACTTCAACTCCCAGAATTCCCCAGCCGGCATCGTTGCTTGGAGAATTCTGGGAGTTGAAGTTTTACAACTGTAAAATTGCTGAACTTGAGAACAACAATTCCCCCCGCTTCTTGACGGTGCAGCTGCGGGGGCTTATAGGAAAGAGGATGCCGGACTCCCAGATTACACCAAATTGCTGCTTCTTGGTCCAGAAGATGGATGGGAATAACGGGTGGAAACTGATCAAGGAGAAGCAACTTAGAACTAAGGAGAAACTTCTTGACAGTTAGAACAATTAACCAATGGAACAACCTGCCTCCAGAAGTGGTGAGTGCTCCAACACTGGAAGTTTTTAAGAAGAGACTGGACAGCCGTTTGTCTGAAATGGTGTAGGGTTCCTGCCTGGGCAGGGGGTTGGACTCGATGACCTCCAAGGTCCCTTCCAACTTTATTATTATTATTATTATTATTATTATTATTATTATTACCAGGAGCTGCCCTTCCTTCATCAGTCAGGTCTGGGGAAGGTTGCATTGCATCTTGCAGCAGGTAAACAGTGCGTGTGTGTGTAGGTTGGATCAACAATGGATTCTGGGCCAGGTTGAATTTGCTTTATTTAAGGAGGGAGTAGCTTGTGATGGTTCAAGCCTTTCTCTCCTGTGCCTTCGAAAGCATCCTTTTTTCTCTCTTAGTAACTTTACAATTACGAAAGGTAACTTTTATCGAGCTGGACTTCAATTCCCAGGATTCCCCAGCCAGCATAGTTGCCTGGAGAATTCTGGGAGTTGAAGTCGACACAACATAAAATTGCCGAGCTATAGAAGAACAACTGCTCTAGAGTGTAACTCCTACCATCCTTGACCCGGTGCAAGTGGGGGCTTAAAGGGAAGAGGATTCTAAATTACCAGATTACAGCAAATTAACTGTTTCTTGGTCCAAAAGATGGATGGAAATAAGCAGAAGCTGCCCTTCCTTCATCAGTCAGGTCTGGGGAAGGCTGCATTGCTTCTTGCAACACGTAAAAAAAAACTTTTTTAAAAAAATCTGGCAGTTGACGTCTACAAGTTTTAAAGTTGCCAAGCTTGGACACTCTTGCTTTAAGCCTTGGGGGGATGGGGGGGGTCTCCTCTTTGGGAGCAGGTGGAAAATTCCCTGCGCTAATCTGAGCTGGGCACCTTGGAGCACCCAAGAGTGATCTCCCAGGCAATGCACACCATCAGAATCCTCCAATTTCAGGACTGCTGCCTGTTAGATTTTAGGGTGCCCCAAGGCATCAGATGGGATGGTTGAGGATAACCTGTTTGGTTTTAAGGTACCTGGAGTAGACATTCTGCTTTTGTTTCTAGTTTAATTTCTTAAAAAAGTTGGGAGCAAGGGATATTTTTTCCCAGGCTTTCATCATATTTCCCATCATCTGAACAGGGCAGGTAAGGAAAGCAAGCAAGTAAATCAGGCAGAGGTGGTCATTCCAAGAGATGTGTTGCGCTTGCCCCAAAGATACAAAGCCTAGTGCAAATTGTTCAGAAGTGCAAGGAATACTTTATGTGCAAAGCCAAGGTGTGTGTTGCTTGGGCTTGTCGGCACAAGTGTTTAGAGATTATTTTTCACAAGCGATTGGGGTACATTTCTGAAGGCTTATATAAACGGTTCAGACCTCTGAAAAGTCACCAAATATTTGTGTGTTTGTTTAAAGGCAGCCTATAGCTGAGAAGGGAAAATGGCAGAGTTCCTAAAATAATATAAAATGCCACTTCATGCAATAGCTCGTGTTTTCTTTATTGCAGCAGCCTCCTGGGCAATACCCAATGAAATCTCAACCAGGGATTCCTGCCGCCTAAGCTCATATTTCATTTGAAGGCTCTAAGACGGGGGTCTTCCAACTTGGCTGCTTTAAGACTTGTGGACTTCAATTCCCAGAATTCCTCAGCCAGCCATGAAGTCCCTAGCAGAACTGTTCCAGGTTTCCCCCCCAATTTTATTTTTTATCAAAAGTAAAACAGGAACACCCTTCAATCATATAGCTATTTCTTTAAAAAAAAAACACCTACACATTTCTGAAAGACTACCGTATGCAAAATTTACCCAGAGCATTACAGTGATGTCTTTCATAGATTTTTTTTCTTTTCATCATGAATATCTTACATCATATTGTACAAAACCAAATGGTTAAGTAACAGACCAAATATGTCCATTTGTGTCATTGGAGTGTGCAGGAATAAAAAATACTATAGGAGAACCAGTTGGGAGAACTAATTCAGTTACTGGCACCCTCTTGGGCTATAAATATCTGGCCATTTAGATCAGCTGTCAAACTAGGACCAAATTCTTAGTATCCTCAGTTTAGAGAGCAATAGAGTAAGGAAAACTGATTTAACTACCACTGTACATTATCAAGAGACAAGGTAGAAAGAAATGAGCAAGAACCCACATTTTCCACACCCTTTTAATTATCCTTTCATAAAGCTACTCCTTCTGATTTGGTAGCAGGTTTGTATTTATAAAAATCATAATACGGATTCATTACATGAAGATGGGATTCCTTGGGCAATTAAGTCCCAAGTCCATGCCTGCAAAGAGTATAAAAACCATCTGTTTCACAAAGGCTCGATCAGTGCTTATTATGGTACATCTGAAGGCAGGTTACGTTCTTGACAACCCACGATTATCCAAGTCCTTTACCTGTTAAAACAAAATTTAATTTTTTAGGGGTTTTTTTCCGTTTCAATGTTATTTGTAGAAGGTATTAAAAACTAATAAAAGTTTTAATAAAAACTAGAAGTTATTTGCAACCTTCCCTGCCTCTCCTCCCTGGGAGAAATCAGATAGGTTTAGGGATCACTCGACCCATTTAACTGCAATAATTTGCTTAACAACCTTGGCAAAAAGGTTGTAAAATCAGGCTCGCCTAACAACAGTGGAAATTCTGATCTGAATTGATAAGTTGGGGACTACCTGTAGTACAGATTAACTATCAGTTGTGATCTGTCCATCCATCCCTCCTTCCATCCAATGTACTGGCTGCCCATCTTACCACCAGGTAACTCGATGCTACAACTGTATGTGGTTGGCTTACTTTATATATTCGAACTAGCCAGTGTTCTGTGGTATAAGCTTCTTCCAAAACATCAAGCTCAAAGTCTTTGTTGCCAATTTCAGCATTTCTCACTCTGTCATAACCTGGTGGGCGTTCTAAACACAAAGGAAAGCAAACAACGACTTGAAAAAGGTTAACCAACCATTCCTGATCCTATGAATTCCAATTATTTCCCCTTACAAAAAACACATTCAAGCTTTTTTAAAACTCTGGGTAACCTTCTTTAAGGTAATATGTAATCAACCATGCCTGTGTCTTGTTCCATATCAAGCTCTCTCTGTATCGGAGAACAGGAGCAGAGCAAAGAGGGTGCAAAATAGGGTCACCCGCGATATAAATTCCAAGTTCCCATAAAGCAAAGAATATGAAAACTATTGGCGGAAATCCAGCTGCAGTGGAAATAAAAATGGAATGCAAAGCTGGTCCAAGCTCAAAATAATTCCCCAATACTCAAAACAGCACTTTTAGTGCTCAAGAGGCATGCGGGAGAATTCACTGGAGAAAGCAATTATCTTTGGAAGACGGTCAACGGTAAAAGGAAACCAGGCTGCCCAAGAACACAATGGCTGGACACATCAAAGCTGACACCAGCCAGAGTATAGAAAAACTCAAAGTAATACAGAATTGGAAGATGTGGAGAGACCTGGCCCATAGAATCGCCAAGAGCCGGACACGACTGAATGGATAACATCATCCGTTGCTCAAGGTAAAATGAGATAAAATATTTTATGCACCTCAAGGTTACTACTAGCTACCCCATGCTGGAGAATAAAAAAAAAACAACCCTAATTTTCTCGAGAATAAAATAGAACGAGGCACCTAAGACATGGAACGTGCAGAGAACAGCATATAGAAAAAGGGAATGTCCTCCAAACTAACTCCTCAATAATGCTGCAAAATGGGGACAAAATCACTCACTTGCTTCTGTATAGACCTGTCCAAAACGGTAGTAGCACATCTTGTACATAAGGCAGTTAAGCAGCACTGGGGAGCCCTCTCGGTCTACCCGGAACTCTCCGGTCGGTGTATAGTAATCATGTTCCTTTATGTGCTTGCCGGTGTCTGTGCTCCCTCCAATTCTCACCATCCACAAGAATTTGTTGATGTCTATGGAACAAAAAGTAAGGCAGTTGATGAACCTGTTCCAATTCATCAGGGTTGAAGGAGTCTTTACCTTCCTAGTTATCATAAGATTCTCAAAAAAAAAAGACCAAAATCAGTCTGTTGCTAAATTAACCACATTATACCAGCAGGAAAAGAAAAAAAAAATCTCTCTGGATCAATGTTTCTCCACCTTGGCAAATTTAAGATGTGTGGACTCCCAGAATTCCCCAACCAGCCAATGGATGGCTGAGAAGTTGAGAAATATTGTTGTGGATTAACAAGGCCATCTGGTTTGGATTTTTTAAATGCAGAAAACGTGAAGAATATAACAACAACAACAACAATAATAATAATAATAATAGTAGTCGTAGCAGTAGTAGTAGTAGTAGTAGTAGTAGTAGTAGTAGTAATAAAGTTGGAAGGGGAAAGGCACACAACTAGTTCAACAGGACAAACTAGCCGAAGAGATGGTGTTTGTGCATCACAAAACAATATGCTATGAACAGGTTTAATAATAATAATAATAAAGTTGGAAGGGACCTTGGAGGTCATCTAATCCAACCCCCTGCTCA